TAATAGTTTCTCTCGGACATTTCGTTGTTCTAAAACACGTAGCCTCTGGCTGACTATGTAACAATCATGTTTAACTAAAGCGATTATTACAATCACTATCACTATATCATTACATAGTATAAAACAAAGTCGTCCCACTTTCTTTCTGTCCCTATATATGCTTAGATCTTTTAAACTACGCAACGGATCTTGATGCGGTTTTTTTACTAAATAAAGTGATTCAAAAGGAAGTTTTATATGTATAATACATTGCACCCGTGCAAAGCCGGGGCGGGTCCTTAGTTGTCCAATAAAATAGTCTTGGACGTAGCATTCAATGTGCTGTGTTTAATGATTTGTTGGCGATTTTTATAAGCAAAATGTGCCAAGGAGCTCTTGGATCGTGGTGTTTCAGTTGGCAACTTTTGAGGATGGCCCCAGTCACCTCACTCTGCAGACAAACGCATCACGTATTTGTTTCTTTATCCTTTACGCCGGTCCTCTATGTAATTCTCTGTCTTCTATGTAATTCTCTGTCTTCTATGTAATTCTCTGTCTTCTATGTAATTCTCTGTCTTCTATGTAATTCTCTGTCTTCTATGTAATTCTCTGTCTTCTATGTAATTCTCTGTCTTCTATGTAATTCTCTGTCTTCTTTGTAATTCTATGTAATAATAACTCTCCGGACGAGCGCTCCCATTAATGTATGCTGCTAATTGGCTCTTTTAAGTCATAAAAGATTCAGTTTTTACCACTAAATTATTGTACTCGTATTACGGGTTCATGGGAGATGGAGGATTAATAATAGGAAATGCATTCAACCGATGCAATGAATGGACTTGTTTCTTTATTTAAAGTTTTAGTTGAAATAAGAAGACTTCAAGTTTTTTTTTATATTATTCTCTGCTTTCATAAACAGGAAGCAGTTAAATTTTAAACGGCGTCTACTCCCTCCGCTGCTCGCTTCGTGTTAGAAAACTTTTATAACTTATTCGTTTTCAATCCAATTTTGTTTAATAGTTACATTATACAATTGATTTCATATGAATTGCACTAGCCGATTCCTACATTAAACACTAATGTGAATTAGTTTTTTAATCTCTTTTATTAGTGTGGGGACTTCTTAGTCTGTAATTAGCAGTTCGATTATATTATGCTATACGTACTTGTTTTGATGATGTGTCATTTTAAGAATATTGACATTTAATATATCGCTGTTTGAGGACTTCAATTTTATAGTTTCATTATCGTTGAAGTGTAATATACTATTTCTATTTCTCGACGACACATTACTCCATCCTCACCACTTACGTTAAAAACATTCGATAATAGCGCAGCGCTATATTGTAGCGTTGTTTACATTCCCACGACGTCGCCGCACCAGCGCCTGGCAGTTACTCTAATTTGCTTTGCGTTTAAAAAGTCCCATTTCAAACCAATCTAACCTTTGCCGCCTCGACTTAAGTCGGGGTTAAGTTTTTACGCCGCAGCCACAAGAGGGAACCACTGTCACGTGTCAATCACTCGTGCGGGGGCACGAGAGCTGAGTCGGAAAGTGTAAAATTGTCAAACTTTTAAATACTTCAAGTCGCGTTCAGAAATACAAATGTATATTTGAAAATTTTCCCGCCGTTTTTTTTTAATCTGTAATGTCATGTGTACTTGACTTCCTTTTTGTGGTTCGTAATTTAAATGTTTTCTAATGAATAAGTTGCACCAATTGTTATTACCAATATAAATTGAGTGCGATATATTTCGCGCTACTTAATAATTACTGCACTATAAGAAATCTCATTTTTATAATGCAATATAACAACAGCAGGAGAGGGCGATTAGTGAATGAAATCAATATTCTATTTCATGTCCGTCTGCTTTTGTTCTCCCTGCAGAACTGCTAGTACCAGTCAGTAGTAGTGTCAAGACACGAGTTTTAGTGTTAGGTTAAATAATTATAGACATAAGTTTATTCCCTGCTTCCAGCATTAAAATCACCATAACGTAAAAATGTCAGTACTAACCCCGCTCCGGACACACTCGTCCAATAGTAATTTGTATTTGTTTTAAAATAATTTTATTCTTTGTTTAACGTTTTTTACTTTTAGTCAATTGTTCTTGTTTTTTTTTTTAATTCTTTACGACTATTACGTAGGGCCATCTATCTCTTTCCCCCAAGGTTCCACTGAAAACAAGCATTCACGAAGATTGTCAACTTCGTGATATGAAGCTGAGTGGTGACCATTTTGGTTCATTCTAATCATAGGTATTTAGTTTTTAGCATATGTTTTATTTTTTTGTGTTATTATGTGCCAAATAAATGTTTCTTTCTTTCTTTCAATAGAATCTAAAGCGATCAATTGCGAGGCTCAAAATCACGGTAACGAGCTCTGTAAACCCGTTGAATTTTACGTATTACTCTATTGTACCGCCTTACTAAAGCGGATAACTTTACTACCGCATGTTAATCTTATTTTAAATCACGGCCGAAATATCTTACCCACATGCATCTCCTTCAATCTTTACACCAGTCTTAAATAAGTGAATTTAAAAAAATCGTCGAAATCGTAATATTTATGGTCTCAATCAGAAGATTCATCGAAACAAGAGAACATAACTTTAAATGCTAACGTTCTTAAAGACTAGAAAACAGATTGAATTTTAATTACATAATATCGTTGTATCAAAAGATGAAACGAGTGCAATGTTGCAATTTAGAAACTCTGATGATACAAAAACTTGCTTTCTGATGTTTCTACTGAGAAATACGGTTTTTTCCGAAGTCCTTTACTTATCAATTTAAATGCTGATGAAACGTCGATTTCATTTTTGGAGTTTTTATACAAACCGGTTCATAACTGTATTTAAAGCAACGTTATCTAATTACTAGGCAATACCAGCTGGAACGCCTACAGGAGTCTATAATTAAATTTCGTCATGTCACCCACGCGCCCCGACACACTGACCTTCGGTCGTTTTATTAGTGAATATGGTCATACGAACTTCGTTCAGATATAATGCCATAACGACCTTTATGGCGTTACTGTTACTCGGCATATTTGCGTATCTGAGGTATTTATTTAATTTTTATATGACGTTCCTACCGAACGATAGGAGTATAAAAAAACTACCCGGTGGTGCGTTCGCCTCCTTTTTCATAAAAAAAACCAACTATCAACATGGAATGAATATTTATAATCTTACAATCTTTTATATATTTATAATGTTCTGCCCTTATCCCACACTATGTAGGGTCGACACAACATTTCCTTTCCTTCCACTATACTCGATCATCCGTCATCTCCATTCTCACCCCTTTCACAGACACATTCTTCACGAACAAATCTTTCTCGGTCTTCCTTTTACTTTTACACCCTCCGACCACATTCATATAATATTTATTGCTCAGAAAATATTTGCAATTAATATTAACGAAATCAAATTTATCAAACTTAGTTGGTGCCAAGAACGCGAGCTACGTTTTCACGTTGAATAGTTATGCTTAACCTTTGAGCGTGAAAAGTATCACTGCCCTCTTCCAGCCGCAACCATGAGTCTAGGAATTGTGATAATTCTCAATTACCTTATAACAACAATTACAATTGCCTAAAAACTTTTTAGTTTGTACCGGCCGGGGCCGAAACGAATTGTTTTCATCAATCAGCCTCTACGGGTAAATAAAAACTTATTTTAATCAGGTAGCGTAGGCGTAACACGTCAGTTTCGGAGGTCGAATCTCGATTTATCGTGCTGTGAAATATTATAATTCCTTGCAAACATAAAATTTATAGCATTTATTAATGGTGACAGTAGTGGTTTAGAGGTCGAATGGTAGAGTTCGTGGATAATACTAATGGTAGTGCACCGAAAGTCACTTTTAATTCTGTTTCATGTACTTCAAGGGATTTTGTGGAACACCGTGAAACTCGGCAGCGGCCACATTTTTTTATCCGAAAAGTTGTCAAGCGATCAGGTTCACCCTGATGTTAAGTGATTTACGCCGCCCATGGACTTTTTTACATCTGAGGGCCTGCAGATGCGTTGCTAACCTTCGAAAAAGTGGGCCCCGGTTATCAAACTCGTGTTTCCATTTCACGCCGGTTTACATCGTTAGGGTGAGAAGCCAGTCTTTTTTCATTCACTTAAATTACAAACTTAGCTTCACTGCTATCTTTCCGTTAAATTTTCAGCGTCAATCATTCACTACCATTCGTTTTTAACCTAATTTTTTTTACCTTGGAAAAAGTGGGCCCCGGGTATCAAACTCGTGTTTCCACTTCACGCCGGTTTACATCGTTAGGGTGAGAAGCCGGTCTTTTTTCATTCACTTAAATTACAGACTTACCTTCACTGCTATCTTTTCGTAAAATGTTCAGCGTCAATCATTCACTACCATTCGTTTTTAACCTAATTTTTTTTACCTTCGAAAAAGTGGGCCCCGGTTATCAAACTCGTGTTTCCACTTCATGCCGGTTTACATCGTTAGGGTGAGAAGCCGGTCTTTTTTCATTCACTTAAATTACAGACTTACCTTCACTGCTATCTTTCCGTAAAATGTTCAGCGTCAATCATTCACTACCATTCGTTTCTTCAATCACTCCCCAGTGCAACAACAAAGCGTTTCGCTAAAATCTCGCTTGCGTTAGATTCATTTCAAACTCGTGACGTGCACATCTTGCCGTGTTTACGATACACCGGCTTCTATAATTGAGCGATGCGGGAGAGTTCAACACATCGCGGTCTATCTTTTTAGAATACGACACAAATAACCATTCTATATTTGAAATTTTATACGTTTTCCACGGGTGGACCTAGCACGCGTCGAGCTCTTGAGCGATTAACGACTCTAACAGTGAAACGCTAGACACACTCTCGGCTAACTGTGCAGATTGACTAAGGCGCTTTGTCTTTCCCTACGGAATATAGATCTTAAGGTGGTACGGTTATGCGGCAGCCATGCCGATGACCACATGCATCAATGTTTGTAAATAGAACGCTGAATACCACCGAGCCTCTTTGATGTTTCACGTGTAGCGCTTGTCGACGTCCATTGGTGCTTCGCTTGAGGCGCGCCTACGAAAGAACCCGAAAATGCGTCGATGTAAATTGAAAACAAATCGAGACGCTCTAGAAACTCCGTGTCATAGTGCCGGGCGAAATGAGTTGGCACCGACACCTTTGTGCCACCGTTAAGATGTTTAGGATGCTACGCGCCTTTTGTAACAATGTTTACAAACAACTTACTTCGGTATGGCCAAATTATATTTATTGTCTAATTACCATCGGGCCTAATTACGTAGTGAACGTGTGCCGTGAAGGGTCTCAGGAATGCGAGTGCTCCCGGAATGCCGGAGTTATTTGCTCGTCTCATTACCCGGCCGGTATGGGAAGTGGAGAGTCACGCTTATCTGGGAACAAACAGGGGGCGCGGCGGGCCATCTGTTCGTTGCACCCGAAGATAACGAGGGACGGCGCAACCATTTGGTGTCGGGCCCCTGGCGCGGGCGCTGCTGCGGCGCGAAATCGGCGCGAAAAGCGGTCGGCCATTTTGCATGTCCGCGACGATGCGTTCCATTTTCGAACGAGCGGTGCGTACGCGGGCCTGTTGTTCGCTTTTTCGAGATGCGCGGTTTATTTTCGACCGCGCGCTGTCCTATTTAATCCGTTACGCGTACGGCCGCCGCGCGCCTCCATCAGTCATAGCGGCGACCGTTGCTTCTGACGTCGCGTTCGCTGATACCGGAATATAAACCCAATAAAATGTTTAAGTACATACTCAATAAGATCAAGAAAAAGGTGCTGTGAACGGAGTGGAACGTCGTTAGATTTCGTTTTCGGAATGGTGTTTGTTTCATCGGGAGATCGTAAAGTGTGCATCTGCTTGTTTCAGATATACCCTGATCCCGAGTCCGAGAAGGCGATAATGGGGTCAGTGGTGTACTGCATCCATCACAAAGAGGGATGCCAGTGGTCGGACGAGCTACGTAAATTGAAGGTGAGTTAGCCTGCTAGTACATTTTCACCGATAAACGGTGCGCGGATCGAATTTGGGACGAGCGATCGATCATTTGTATTTGTACTACGCCTATCTGACACATTATCTGTTCTATTTTCGTAATTGACACATTTACTCCGTAATAAATTGACGAATTAAATTAAATTTTGATGTCTAATTATCCGAAAATATTTTAAAGATTCTGTTAAAATATCCTGTGGTAAATAAGTGAGCCGATAGTTCGCCCTTTTATTGGGTCTGCTTTATTATGCTTATTACTGCAATAAACATTTTATGGCTTTTCCATATCAATGCTATTGCTTCATGTGTAAGTCCTTACGGCTCTCTTATACGAGGGCAACATTGTTTAATCGATTGGAATTCATTGGAACGACTCAGATTTGGATGAATTGTGAATAAAATTGATAATTAAATTCTATAACACACATGATTGTATTTTTTGAGACCTAGTACGTTATTTATCGCAACTCAAGTTTTAGTAAAAGCGTTGTTTTATGAAAACGAAAACAGTCACATGGGACTCGAATCTGACTCTTATCCAAAATACCAACAAATGGAAATTCATACAACAAATATTTGAAATCCTGAAACAACAAAAGCGTAACGTATAGCGATGCATTTTAATAATTTTCCCCATATTTAAACAGTCGGGTAACACCAGCGGCAAATAACCCGTTTGATTCACGTTCTGCTATTAGTGGAGATGTAGCGGAATAATCAGAACTGAGAGACCGGAAATCAAATCTAGTGGCAACGCCATCCACCTGTAGTTTCCTTTCATTGTCAGTGACCGTCTACCGTAACTAGAAGAACCGCTTCTCAGCCAGCGTTTGAAGTAGGGGTACCTAGATTTAGGAAACGTCCGCTTCACGTCCAGCCAACAGCCTTCTTTCTGCTTCTAGGCGCACCTGAACACGTGCAAGCACGATGCCGTGTTGTGCGCGGCGCAGTGTGGCGCCATGATCCCGCGCGTGCTGATGCAGGACCACCTCCGCTACACCTGCCCGAGGCGCAGGGCCAACTGCGAGCACTGCGGGAAGGAGTTCTCCGGCAGCGCCCTAGAGGTCGGCAACTTGTCTAACCACTTGGAAATTCATATCGTTCTTGATACAGCCGCAGTATAATCCATCGCTTTTTTGACCATCAAGCAATGTGGATTTTGTGTTAAACCAAGACCTCGCAGAAGACGGGCGCGAAGTGAAAGTGTTGTACTTTTGAGTTTCGTCTGGTCAGTAAGGTAGCCGGGGCTCACTTTATTAAAAGGTGGCAATGCTTCTGCAACCCTACGAGTGTTGCAAATGTGAATTATCGGCTGTTATCACTTGAAATCAGGTGAACTGCCAGCTCATGTAGTCATACATAGTCTCATTAGACGTAGGCGTTCAAAATAATAATTGTGAAAAAGTAAAATACCGTTTAATTGAATACAAAACCACTTAAAGTACCTAAAATTTAAGTAACAACTTGCACCAAAGAACACAAATGATTTATATACCAAAAGTTGTTATAAGAACAATTATATCAGAAACGCAGGATATAAGCTTCCATGTAATGACGTCACCGATTATTGGTTTACAGGAACATCAGGGCAATTGCGGCCACGAGCCGGTCTACTGCGAGAACAAGTGCGGCGCGAAGGTGCAGAGACGTCACACGCAGCAACACAGCCAGCAGCACTGCAGCAAGCGGCTGGTCCCTTGCAGACACTGCGGCCAGAAGTACACACAGGTACGGGAATTAAGCTCGAGCAAAGTCCGATGCAGTATCGTAAAATTTTAACTGCAATCTTTCAACTGTTATTAAGATTGTTTTTAAGATTTTCTTTTACTGTCTCGAGGATCTGATTATTGAATTTTCTTCTGCGTACAGTTTAAGTGTCTCCTTTCGCACCTACCTGTATATCTTTGTCGTATGCCTTTGTCTCGTTTTACACCTGTGTTGTTATAAATTCGATTAAACCGTTATTTGGTTAAATACTATTATTAAATTTCGATCTGCGAGCGATTAATTACTACTTATTTCAATAACTAACAACACGGAATAAATGTATCCTGGCTTTATCTTCTCATCTGAATTAACTTTTTGATCTGAATTTTCACGTGCTCCTTTCTTTAGATCTAGGTACTATCTTGAAGTGGCTGTCTTAGACATTGCGTTATTGAAATCGATCCTGTTGATCCGTAAATCTAGAGCGGATTTGAACGATTTTAATAGAAACTAGGATCGGTGTCGTTAACAACTGTTTTATGGTCGGAGCCGAAGTTTTATTTCTGTTACGAATTCGTTGTTTATAAGACCGTTACGTTCGCCAGGAACTGGTCGTTGTTTATGTTACCCGGAAACAGTTATTACCTTTTATAAATCAAATGTTACAGCTATCGAGTTTGTCTGGTTCACGAGTTATGATTGAAAGGGTTGGAGATTATGGTGTGTTTTAAAAATATTTTTAGATTCTACAAATTGTTTCGAAATTCAAATTATTGATTTAGCTTTAATCAGCAGTTTTGTCCTGAAGTTTTCAATTGACAGGTAAAACAGTCTGTCCCGTGACCATGAACGCTGTAAAATTCGAGACGCCGAAAATTTTTAATCATAATTATACGCGCAAAAATCCGTAAAATAGATCATATAACAATGCACAGTATTCACGACCAGTAAACAAAAGCCGATGTGACTGTTAAATTTCCTTTGGATAGAAACGCACAGTGGTCTCTTGTAAGAATCCTGTCATTGCAGTCACACCGCATAGCAGTTTCAAATTCACTTGATGCCTTGACGTTTTCTGGGGCATTTCACTATCGCATCTCGCTCGCTTGTTCTCAACTGCGCCGACCTCCACCTCACTTCTCTGTTCTCTACTGTTACGCCATCTCATTTATCTATCAACTGCACTGCTTTGCCACGGCCATCCATCTCACTTGTCCGTCGACTGCACCCTGCAATGCCACGATTGTCGCTCCGTCTGCCCTATTCTCAACTGCGGCCTCCTGCAGGACTGCGTGTCTGCGCACGGAGCGAGCTGCAGCCGCGCGCCTGTGCCCTGCCCGCAGCGCAGCGCCGGCTGCGCGGCGTTGCCAGCCCGCGACGAGCTGGAAGCGCACCTACGCGACCACTGCGCCGCCGCGCTGCCCTGCCCCTACCGCGACGCCGGCTGCCGCTTCAAGGTACATCTCGTAATACTTTTACTTCTCGAATGGGCGGGCTCGTCCGGGTAAGCACCGTGAGCTCACAGAAAACCGGCGTCAAGTGGAAGTATAATACTTTCGCGTTTCTTATGGTGAGTAAGGTGGCCGGAGCCCAGTTTTCAAAAGGCTGTCAACGCATCTGGAACCATCGGGTGTAGCGGATGTCCATGGGCGGCGGTATTCACTTAACATCAGGTGAGCCGTCTGCTCGCTTGGCAACTTTTCACATAAAAAAACTACCCTTAGGACCAGGGTCGACTGAAGGTGCAGCGGTGAAGCGACCAATTTAGTGAAGATTTTTAAATTCAATCTGCATACACTGTCATTGGAACAGCGCATTTTTTTTCTCCGCAGTCGTACTTCGCTGTTCGTATACTTTCGCCTCAAAATCTGAAGCGCACTTGATATAGTACTTTCACAACAAATTGCAAACGTCCGCTTTCCTGTAGTTGTCAAATTTATTCAAACACGATAAAAATATTCCTATTCGACCTGTGCGACCTGCCTGATACTTTCCAATTTTAAGACCACATCCCACTAAATACTCCTATTCGACCTGCGATTATCGTTGTTCACCACCAGCCCAATCCTTTCCATCTTTAAGACCAGCCAACCCACAATATCCGACCATCATGACTAGATAACCCCCATAGAACAGCAATTAGGCTTCTTCTGAATGAAGTTTATTGTTTATTTATTGTTAGATTCTGAAGTCATTCAGAGAGTGACGTGCAAAAGGTCCCCGCTAAAAAGCGCCCTCCGACGCTCGCAGGGCACGCGCGCGGCAGTGGAGCGCCACGCGGAGGAGAGCTGCCAGCAGCACGTGGCGCTGCTGGCGGCCGTGGCGGGGCGGCAAGCCCGCCAGCTGGACGCGCTGCGGGCGGCCGTGGCGCGGCTGGCCGTCAACTGCACGGGCGCGCTGGTGTGGCGCATCTCCGACTGGGCGGCCAAGATGGCGGAGGCCAAGGCGAAGGACGGCGTCGAGCTGCTGTCGCCCGCCTTCTACACCAGCCAGTACGGGTACAAGCTGCAGGTGTGTTGCCGTCTCTCTCTTTCACTACCGATTGCCTTTCTTGCTTTGCGAGGAATGTGTCTCCCTCTTTGGGTGATCTCTTTCTGTCTTCGGCCTTTTTGAGTAATGATCTCTCTCCTTCGAGTTCTATTCCCTCCCACATTCGAATGATGACCTTTTCTCCATCCCCTTAGGTTTCTATAAGCGATAACGTCCGTATCTTTATGCTCTTCACTAATATTCTAATGTCTGCTATTATGGACATTTATATATATATATATATATATATATATATATACATTTCTAAATCAAGACAGACCCAATACTTTATTAAAAACAAACTTTCTAAGTTTTTCTAAAGAAACTCTACTTTCATTTAATATAGAGAAACTCTGTTTTTAATGAATAAATTTATAATATAGCATCATATATTATATATAATAGCTTCTTTCCACTCCATGGACGTCATACGATTATTTAATTATATCGTTACACGGCAACTCCTTTGTTAGTAAACAGAACGGCGGGGGAGTCTCGGTCTTTTTGCAAAACGTCGAGTGAGCAACAGTGGGGGAGTGGACCAATTCGGCGTGGCTTAGTCACCGCGGGCGGTTATTAAAGCTATTTGCGATTTCCAACTTTGGAGTTATTTCTAACTCGTTCGGTTTAACGCACGGTGTCCCGCAGTCGGGAGCGATGGTCCAATTAAATGACTAACTACTTCGTTTAGCTTGAGTCATGACAAATTTTAATGGACGATTTAATGTGTTGGTTAGATACGTTTCTTATTATACATTTAAACGCGGTTGTATATATATTCAGTTATTTCAAACGCTTTGGTAAATCTTTTACGGATTAACGTACACGTTGTCCCGTAAAAGATTTTCCTATCCTATGCGGTCTAGTTGAAGACCGCGACACGGTCTTATCTCGTCCACAGACCTATTGTTTTTTCGTTTTTTTATGTTATTCTTTTTTTCCTTTTTAAATTCGAAAAAGTGGCCACCGAGCTGGCGATTCAACTGACGTTAAGTGATAACCGCCGCCCATTGACATTTGCAACACCCGTAGTTTTGCAGAAGCGTTGCCACCTCACAATAAACGGGGCACCGGCTACCTCACTCACTAGACGAAACGCAGAAGCAATACTTCCACATCACGCCGGTCTTCTGCGAGCTCGCGGTACTTACGCGGACGGGCCTCGTCTGCGCAACAACTTGCGCGGCCCTCAGAGCCTGTTCCGCGCACACGTCTAGTTCACGACACGACCACTACACGAACACGTCACGACCACGAGATGACCACTACACGACCACTTCACGACCACGAGATGACCACTACGCGACCACGAGATGACCACTACACGACCACTTCACAACCACGAGATAACCACCACACAACCACTTCAAGACCACGACACGACCACTTCACGACCACCACACGACCGCCACACGAGCGCTAAACGAGCCAACGCCCGCAGGCGTCGCTGTTCCTGAACGGCAACGGCGCCGGCGAGTCGACGCACGTCTCCGTGTACATCAAGATCCTGCCGGGCGAGTACGACGCGCTGCTGCGCTGGCCGTTCGCGCACGCCGTGTCGTTCACGCTGTTCGACCAGGGCGCCGGCCCCGAGCGCGCGTGCAACATCGTCGAGAGCTTCGCGCCCGACCCCGCCTGGAAGAACTTCCAGCGGCCCTCGCGGGAGCCCGACGCGCTCGGCTTCGGCTTCCCGCGCTTCGTCTCGCACGAGATGCTCAAGAAGCGCAACTTCGTCCGGGACGACGTGATGTTCCTCCGCGTCAAGGTCGACCCGGGCAAGATCGTCGCCGTGTAGCGCTGCCGCCGGTGCCGGTGTTGTAAATACCCCCCCTAGTTTTAGACCCGTTGCCCTTTCACGGAAGATCTCTTGTTTCTAATGCCCCTCGGACGAGTGACAAGCCGGCCGATGTCTCGGAGCGGCCGAGCCGATTTGGCATGCTTCAGCGCTTCCCAAACTTTGTTACTTCTACACCGACCATAAGAATATTAAACGAAAGCATTGAGACATAACAGACAGTATTTAATTTTTTTTTAAATATTAAAATAAGACTAAATCTATCTTTGAAGTTTGAATATTAATACTCAATCAGGTTCTGCTTAGTTTGGGTAACGCTGGTTTAATTGATGCTGTATGACCCCACATTGGACCACATAAATCTAGCCTAGTACACTCGTGCCATATTCTCCTCTAAGGTTTTTGTGAAATCCGTGTTAATATTGCACACATTTTTATAGGATACTGCAAAAACTGTGTGTTGTCCGCTTCAATGTTCCTGAAGCATTTTTGTTGGCCTTAGCAACAAAGGCGATTTGAAAAATGCTCGGATAAAAAAATAAAATACTGCCTCGAGACTGGTTTGGCTTTGTTATAACGGCAGATCTTTGTATATATTTCTCTATTTTACATGTTTTTTTTAATTGTATTAATTTATCAAACCGCTTGTTGGCGGTGCTTGTACATACGACGAAATGTCAAAGAATGTTTTTCTTTCATGTAAATAGCTAGGGCGTTACTTTGAAACTAAAGAATGTCTGATTTTCTGTGTGTTACGAAGCTGGAATTAGACCAAAGTTTTACGATAACTTTGCAACGAAGCAGTGTTGCGGTAGTTTATTATTAGACTCGGCAAAGTTATCTAAATATAAAACGTTAAACGCGGCTAAAGCTGACTGTTGATATATATTATAATATTACGTGTAAATATATAATTATTTAAGAACTTACTTTTGATGTCGTCGCACATATTTGCATCAGTTACATTTAGATATTCCTTAAAACCTGTCATTGAATAAAGTCATTGTGTGACATTCGCCACTAATATTTTACGCGGGAAAACGTGTACAGATTAAACACAGCATATCCAAATCGTAAAGTAAGCCTTCATGGACACAGTGTTTTTTTGTAATATTTGATTGCCCATTGTAAATGTTTGCATTTAGCTCGAAGAATATTCCCAATGCACACTATGAAAGTTGATTTATTTGGATCTCTCAAGACGCTTGTAAATAATCTCAAATGTAATGTTACATTCCAATAATGAAAAGATTGTTTTAAGCCCGATCAGAGTGAAAAAATCTATTATAGACACAAGAAGAGTTGATATATCTTATGAACTACATTACATCCTAATTTTAACATTAATATTCTATTAAAATTCCAGTTACATAATTCAGTTGAAGTCAAACCAAATTGCTGTAGTAGATTATTTTATTAGTTTTTAGCATGAGTATAAGAAAGTGATGTTATTAATGTTCTATTGTAAGGTTGGAAACATTTATTACAGTTAAGTTCAGGAGTACATAGCGGTGAACACACATTTAGAAATTTAAAAAAGTCTTTTTTAACAGTTGTACTACTGCTCAAATCATTTACTTTTTAAATGCAATTGTAAAACATTAGTCTTTCATTATATTAGATTTTTATCTAGAAAATTGTGTTTTTCTGTACATATACTATCTATTTACTATAAAATATTCAGAACACCGGCGTTATGACGTTAGAATTTAAAGTATAACTATAGCATAGCAGATATGTTAGTATTACTGAAACAATTATTTTAGTACCTTGTCTGTTACAGATATAAGACTAATAACAAATAGGTGATAAGTAAGTTTAAAAATAGTCTAGTAAGCTTTTGTACTTTAGAATGTAAGAAAGATGATTTGGAAATATAACATGGAAAAATATATTTTTTTTCACGTATATAAATATATTTATCTTTTATTTCGCATATATTAAACAAAAACCAAGTTGCTACAGCGATTTCTTTTGCATTTATATGCCCGACTTTTGACTGAGGAAAGTAAATTGCTTTAATGAAATGAACTAAGATTTCAACTTTTCAACGACTCAGATTGTGGGTTCCACTCCCACTAGACAAGTATTTGCATAATATAGTGACAAATGTTTGAATCTATCTGATTATCCATTTGCAATGTGGTTTTACCTGCCAATATTATTTTCAATTACGTAGATTTATTTTATTATTTTCTGGAGGTTCAAAATCTTATACCTACTCAAATTAAATTGCTAATCTATGAATATTTGCTCGAGAAAAAAGTTTTTGTACAGTCTGTGCGCTGTAACTTGGCGTGGTTGAGTTGAGAGTTTGACGTTACAAAAGATCCATTTTTCCAGTTTTATTGAAGTTTTACTTCTTTAGGCGCGTTAAGAAAAAATTATGAGAGTGAAATTTTAATATGTAACACAAAAGTCACACCTGTGAACCTGCCCGCAAATTTTTATATATGGCAGCATATTCACAATCACATTCGCCCGTTACAGTTCTCAATAAAGGATGTAGATGGCGGTTTCATAATTTTTTTTTAGATGGCAGCATATTCTCAATTACATTCGGCCGTTACAGTTCTCAATAAAGGGTGTAGATGGCGCTATCATAATTTTTCTCTACTTTTGAACATTTGTATTCATTATTATATCTATAATATAAACTCGAGTTCACTGTTTTGGCAAGCCCGAGGTTCAGGCTAGGCGCCCCGTGCGCCAGGCCACCTCAAGCCCGTCGAAACTGTAAAGGCCCCTAAGGCCAACAGTGCAACTGCAACATTTAAAAAAATAAAAAAAAATTGGCAAGGTCAGTTTTTGAAACGGTGTTTTGATTTTATTATTCAACTTGTTTTTCTTTTGTTACGCCAAAGAAGTATAACTTCTTACGTGCGTACATAAGTACACACAAACTTTTTTTAGATGCTCAATCTGAAACTGACGAATTCAATATTTTAAATCATGAAAACGAAATCAACGGATTTGATGAATCGGAGGAATAATTTCACTACAATGAATGGTGTAATTATGATATAATAAATAATTTTTTGCTTGACTGACGGGAGTTGTTTCACGATATAGCTGACCGACCATTTTATTTGCGGTTAACATATAATCAATAACCCCTAGAAAAATAAATGAAATATATTAAATAAATTGCACGTTATGTATTTAATGCACTTACATTAAACATGACTGACCAGCTCTGTTTTTACATTTCAGTGACTGACTGACTGTTTGCTATAACCAGTGATAGCTCTGAAATTTAATATGCGGTAGTCGAATTAATTATTCGACCGTTCGAAAGTTTGGTTTCGGCCAAAACTATTCTGGCACCGACTTGCACGATACAATCGATACCAAAGCAAACGTATTTCATGCGGCTACGCCTAGAATAAGTTAATAATAATACTTTAAAATATAAATTTTTGCGGAAAAATTAACAAAAACTTTCGGCACTGCGGGATTCGAACCTGCGTCTTATGGTTTATGTACTTTTTTAAATTAAAAAATTATCCACACCTGAAAGACTACATATTATGTCCATCCATGGGTTGCCTGGAAGAAATTGTTTTATGTAATGAGGCCGCCCATTGTACCTTTACATAATTGTTATTTTTAATATAATTTTTTATATGGACTTTTAATCTTAATGTATGTTATTTATTCCAATGTTTCAACAGAAACGACAAGAAATCCACAGCGCAGAATGATCGGCTTAAGTTCGTGGTTTTATGAAGTACATACTAAAAAGAAAATCAGTGAAACCTCTAGTTATTACCACAGATTTTTCTTCTTCAGTCTGTACTGTACAAGACTGATACTAGTTGTACTTACTTGAACTGAATTATGGCATCATTGTAGTGCAATAAAACCTCAACAGCAAAGGTCTGTGATCCTATTATTATAACATGTTTTAAAGCTTCAAGATTATTAGAATCTGTGCATTATCAGCTATAAAGTGTTCCTAGTAATTGTCTTTTAATAGCATTCATAGAATTTTATCATTGAAAAAATTAATATAAACTATGACTCTGGAATAACTTAGAAATGTTAATATAAATCTTAAGTGTATATATTAAGTGTTATGAAACCAAAATGAAGTTTTTCAATTGTTATTGGCATAAATTCTAAAAAAAAGTGAAACCTAGTTGGTAAACTGTCTAGGCGTGTTACCCAGAAGACACAGATGCAGCATTGAAGATTTCCGATCATTTATCTACAAAAATTCATATCCTTAAGTTTAATTTTGAATTCAGAGACTATTTTCTCAACAATTAATCATAAACATTAAACAATCTTTTATGCCAATACGTACAAAAAAAATGATTTTCTTAAATTCATAACATCTTCAAATTTATTACTATTAAAAACTTATGATAAACATATTTACAATATACACAATTTTTGACAGAAACCTCTTCAAACATTTTGTGAACCGCCAGTTTGACTGAAAGTAGAATTGTTCAAGCTAGGAGGTATGTTTTTCTCGCCATCTGGAAATATAACAAAACATCAATATAATTATTAAAATGTAAGTATTGTACGAAGACCCGAGAAACACAAATAAAAGTCAACTGTTCCAAAAATTATAAAAACTATTAACACTTACATATTTCTTATAAAGTGCTATAACATAAGTAAGTAAGCACTTTTGGCAGTGTAATAAGAACTTTGTTAAGTGGAAAAAAAAAATTGGCTACAAAAGGTGGCAAAAAGGTCTTAATTTGTAAAAAGTACTTGCCCGGAGATATGTTTTAATAGTTTTAATTATTTACAGCACCGTAAATACTGGCTCTAAGTGGTTTAAGATCATTTCAAAGTACCCCAAAAAATTGTATATAAGCAATTCAACAAATAGTAAGTTTCATAAAACAAATTATTAATTCTCAAACATCACAAATTAATATAAGTCGTATTTCATACAAAAAAAATCATTACTAATGATAAATAATATACCATTTTAATCCTATATAGCTCATCCATAGCCTCTGGTAGTAAAGGTTTCACTGAGTTAATTTCCATCATTGTCAAATGATCTAATCTACCATAACTGCCACCGGATTTCATGAGGGCATCCATGGATGTCCTTAATTTAGACATTCTAATGTCCCATATGTCTTTTATCATAGTTTTGATTTCCGAAGCCCTTGGGATATCTTCTGCTGCTGCACCCAAAATTAATTTTGCTTCAACCATATAGTGTTCATTGGGCATCCTAGTGAAGAACCTGTAAATGTTGCAAAAAATAGCTTTCACATACAAGAGTACTGGCACTAACATTTCAAAGTTCTCTATATTAATTGTTACACACATTAGGGAAGTTCTGATCAACAATAGAAATAATGTAATGCACACTATTAAATGTATCTTCCTTAACAAAAAAAAAAAAAAGAGATTGTACAAGTGTTAATATCTACCGTGAGCGCTTCTCTTCTTCTTTAATATTTTCCAAAACTTCCATATCCATCCAATCTGGAGGTACTATTCTACATTTCTGTTTTTGTTTAAGCATTACACCCAACCAGAGTGGCACGTTCAGTGGCAGTCCAGCGCGGAACGGACCAAATTCACCACAAATTAAAAATATCTTATCGTGGGAGAAGTTGGGAATTATACTAACTATTCTATTTTCACCGATAAATTCTATTTCGTACGGATCCATTAGTATTTTGCTTAAGATATGAGTAAATTGTTGATCTAAATGTCTTGTTACACTATTTTCAGTTAAATAAAATTATATTAATATAAAATAAATATACAACAAAAACTTTTTCCCGCTTTTTTTTGACATTGACATTGATGTCTAGAGTTTTGATCTGGCACAGACGTTTAAGTATAACATGCTACGTAATACGCTAAAATGCTTTTTATATTTAGCTTTACCCTATTTTCCTAAGGTTAAATATCAACTTAATTGATTACATCTATAAATTGTTTTATTTACAAGAATAGTTTTTAATATCATCATTTTCGTTTAGATAATCATCAATAGATGGCGCTTATTAGTAACTGGATTCTAGTTTTTAATTTATTACCTAATTCTGAGGTAAAATAAAAAATATAAAAGTTCTTAACCCTAGGCAACAATGTTTTATAAATATGTTATATTTCATATTAGGGATCTGCTTTAAAAATAATCAAGAAAAATATTTCAGAAATAAAATATGCAAAACGAGAAATAAAACTAGAACTATAAGATTAAACAAATTTCCGGATATACTTGGATTTTTGTTATTATACCATGCATTGAAAACTATTCTATAGACAATTATTTACATAATTTGACTACAAAGGTTAGTTTTCCCAATTTTATGTAATTTGATTCGTTTTATTTTGATCTTGTAATATTCAATAACGTTATGTAAAATTAAGCAATTTTAACAATTACAATAACTTATTTGATTTTATACTACTTAAATAATATCTGCTTAGAGTAATACCAACGCGATCGATGCAAATCGTTTTGGCAAAGTGCAAACTCCTAATTACTAGCCGTAAATTAGGGTGGCCGGTTGACAATGTCTCAGACGGTTGATATTTATGGGTTCTCGCCGACGGAGGACTGAGTCCGGACTTTTGCCTCCCTCTACGCTTGTCATATATATCAATAAGTGACTGTAGTTGAATAAGAATAATTGAAGTGAAATCGCGATGAAATTGGCGTCAAATGTAATTCACGATCTTTGCTCATTGCTCAAATAAAAATGAAAATATTGAAGAAAACTTGTTCATGTTTTCTTAAAATTTGCAATAAGAAAACCTGCATTAGAAGCTTAGAGATTCTTATGTACGAGGCCTGGTGTAGTTAGATGGTAAATGTGTAGTTTATGTCTCATACTAATTTGTTATTATTAAATACTTAGAACTGTTTATTAATAAATAATTAATGGATTAGTCTTTTACGTAAAATATATTTTTATGGAAATGAAATAAGTTTTCTAATGTGACATCTAGGCTACAAATAGTGTACTTATATTTAAATAATGCCACTTGTTCCCTAATAGATGGCGCTACGCAACACAAAAGTAATTTTGAAAATGTAAAAAAAAATGTAAAAATTATTTACTTAATAAAATTCGATAGTATTATATCAGGTTGAATGTGTTAAATAATATGTGTATTATTAAATGTTGTATTTAATAATACACATATTATTTAACATTGTCTAAATGTGTGAATAAGGAATACTCAATATGTTATATATTATATTAAATACGAGTAAAACCTGAATTTATCCGTTAATCAGACCATTAAAGGTGTTATCCATTTTAAGTCCAACATTTTTCCATTTATGTAACTAGAAAAAACAAAACAATCAAACTTTCAATATGTATATAGTATATGCACCTATGCCGACAGCTACCTACTAATAATAAAAGAATAAAAGAAGCTTTAGTGTTGAAGTGTTTGAAAATATTTTTGATTTTTTGTGGTAGGACCACGCAACAGTCTTCGCTGTTGCACGAATGAGCAGGTCCATCCGGTAAGTCAAGTCACTGCAACTTCACGCCGGTCTTATCTGAGGTCCACGACCTCAGATAAGACCGGCGTGAAGTTGCAGTGTTGTACCTACTTCCGCGTTATGTCGGGTGAGTGAGGTAGTCAGGGCCCACTTTATTAAAAGGTGGCAACGAATCTTCAACCTTACGGATGTTGCAAATGGAAGAATGAAGTATTATGGTTTTACTTACAAATGTTCATCGTTGAATGTTACTTCTTAAGGTGTTGTATGCTGGATGCGCAAAGCACTGCTAAAAATGCAACAGAAAATGCACGTAGATAGTTATCAAGATTTTCGAGTAGTACGATAATCGTGAGGAAAGCTGCATATTTCCAAAATAATAACAAAAATAATATTTCGAACATATGTGAAGACCGCCAATCCGCATTGGGGTCGTGCGGTGGACTATGTCCTGATACCCTCTTTACAGAGGAGGCCTTTGCCTAGCAGTGAGACATCTACAGGCCGTTACTTTATTTACATTACGGTCATTTGCCACTTTATTTTTGTTTTTTTTTTTAATTCACTTAGTCGGTATAAGCGTTCGCGCGCGAAACCAGAAGGCGGAGGTTTGAATCCCGCAGCGCCAGATATATTATTATCCAGACAGATTCCAAAGCTGGACTGAAGTGAAAATGAACTTCTACATTTCATGGCGTGATATATACAACTTATTACTTAAATAAGTGATTACTTGAGAAATCAATCAAATCCGAAACGGGCAAACATTTCGTCCTACACGTCAAGCCGTCCAATAGAGTGGCTAAGCGCGTTCAAAGCTACTGACGTCCGCGTAAATGATTCGCTGGCCAATTAACCGCCTCGCCGTTATGATGAACGGCCGCCTATTAAGGCCACACGTCCCGGAATTATGCGGGCTACATGACGCCGATGTAGTTCAACACGCTGTCGACTTAAACACGCCGTCGATCTAACACGCCACCGGCTGGATTTGACACGGCCGCGCTGCCCGTCAATCTGACGAAGTTTATAGCGGACGTTTATGCTGTAAAATTCCCAAGTAATTGGTGTAGTGGGATGTGAATAAGATTTAACTGTCTTGACACTAGTATAAATACATTAATGATAATAATGGGAATGAAATGATCGCTCCCAAGCTATTTATTAAAAAATATGTTTAATATTTTAATGTAATTTTAATTTTAATGTTATTGTTAATTTGAAGAATGTTGAAAAAAATGCCAGTGAGAAGGTTACACGCTGAGGCTTAGATACTAGGCACAAGTTAGACTTTGCTTGTGTCAGATCGGAATTCGGCAAGTTGTAATCACCAGCCACCAGAAGTATTTGGGGGATTTTATATTGTACTACAAACATTACATTGCTTTTTTTTTATATGAAAAAGTGGCAAACGAACGGACGGTTCATCTGATGTTAAGTGATAACCGCCGCCCATAAACATTTTCTTTCAGAAGTCATTCAATTTCTTTATTCAACATAGGCTTACTTTAAGCTCTTATTGAACGTCATAAACTACCACCGGTTCACTAAACTAGACGTGTAAGAGAAGAACCGGCAAGAAACTCTGAGGTCATATAACTTTTTTTTACAAATTATTTAAGTATAAAATTAGCAGGATCCAGGGGACTTGCAAGTGTAGAGCAAGAGTCATTTCCACACATCCTTGTCCTCAAAGTATTCCCCAACATTATAATAGGCCCTTTCCATTAAGGTGGCTTTTACAAAATGTTTGAAATTATTTGCACCTAACTGTTTGTGGATGTCACCTATCTAATCTAATACGTTTAAACGAGCAATTCTTGTATGTATATATATCGCAATCTCGGCAACGGTTCCAGCGATTTTCATGAAATTTACTATGTGCGTACATTCGCTTAACCTTTGAGCGAGAAAAGAACCAGCTCTCTTGTCAACAGCCGCGTTATACAAGTTAATACATCTACCAAAAAAAGATTTCCTGGTTTTAACTAGTTTAAACCTCGGTATTATTAGCGTGCCACCACGGCCCCGAAAAGGTTTTCTTTTTATGCGAAAAGTTGTCAAACGAGCAGACGGTTCACCTGATGTTAAGTGAATATCGCCGCCCATGGACATCTGTCACACCCGAGGGTTACAGATGCGTTGACAACCTTATGAAAATTAGGCTCCGGCTACCTCACTCACCAGACGAAACGCGAAAGTATTTGTCATACTTCCACTTTACGCTGGTCTTCTGTGAGGTCGTGGTACTTACCCGGACAGGCCTGCCCATTCGTGCAACAGCCGAGGCTGCTGCGTGGCCCTACCACCGTAAAGACCGAAAAGGTGTATATTATTTCGTATATACATGATGTTCTCAAGGCGGGAGCGATGTTGATTTGCTTAAAAATATGCAGAAGGGATTCACGTGGACCCAAGCCATAGTTTGAAAGCCCGTATCGCTTGCTTTTGCAATACAAATATCGTTTATTGTGTATTAGCAACACCCGTAGGGTTGCAAATGCGTTGCCACCTTTAAATAAAGTGGGCCCCGGTTACCTCATTCACAAGCAGAACCAGACGGACAGACCTGCCCATTTGTGCATCAGTGAAAACTGTTGCGTGGCCCTACACAGCCGTTTTGATATTTTTGATTGGATAAGATAATGGCCTAAGCAATGGTAATGTAAGCAGTTTAAGAGAGTACAAATACACAAATATTTCTGTAAGTTGCTGAAAAAATTAATAGTTTGCTAGACAGTTGACATTAATAATATGATATCGACATCCTGTTTTAGAAGATTCAGTTTTAATTCCAAACCTAAAAATTGTGAGGTAACATTATAAATTATTATTCTGGTAGTAAATCATTGAAAGTAAATTTGTATACGCCCCGTTTCAATATTCTATCAACGGATAGATTTGGTCACTAGCGATATGTATTTGATACTAGCTACATAATATTTACGTCAAAATTCTATCTCCACTAACCAAATCAATCTGTAGATAGAATATTGAAACCGGCCGATAGACGGCATTGTAACGTCTATAAGAAATTCGCCCGTTAAACATGTTTCGAACAAAACTTGTGAACCCTAGCTATGGATTAATTTTACCATTGAGCACAATTCAACAGTTTTATTATAGTCCCAAACGGTATTCTCCGCTTCTGGTGGCCACGATAAGGAATGGGGCCCGTTCTAATTTGTATCATAAAGTCGAATTCGAATAAAACAGCGCTTACAGAGCGAACAGAAAGAAACCGAGCGCGACCGTAACTTCTCGAAAGTTCGGGAATAATCCTTATTTGCGGAGTTCATTATTAAGTGAATTATTATGATTACAGTTGGCCTCTACAAGTTGCACAAAAGTTTTAAGTCTCCCCCCTATCTCATATAACAGGTGCGCTCAACAATTGGTACGAATTTAAAACAATTGTTTATATGTAATTTGCATATTTCAGAATTTAGACGGACTGCCGAACTTTTTTGCCTTTTGAAAGTAACCTACTGTAATATAAAGGTTGAGTCTACATCAGCCAAATAATAATATTTCTTAACAAAAAGAAATCATGGCACGGCAAGATAAATGCGACTACTATACGAGTATATATTACCTCATAATAGTTTCACAGTAAATGTAATCAGACAACTCAAATTTAAATGACTACATACTTTACAAAAACAATTAATGAAGAAAACTTTAAATGAAAAAAATGTTTGACACCCCTGCACAATATTTCTAGGTACACAAGCTTAACGCGCCGGCCAAGACTTATCTGCAACAGTCCAAATGTACTTAGTTCAACCACATTATAGCAACTAACCGCCTACTGGGCGCAATTAACTCCTGTAAAATTCTGTTAATAAATTACCGTAACTCGTTGGAGTCACAGGGATTACTTAATCTTTAAAAGTCTGAAGGATAGTACTGAGTATTTATAAGTAGTATATAATATATTAATGTGGATCATTTATTTGACCTTTTCTGTATGGAAACTAATTTATTAAAACAAACATTTACATATTTCGTACAAAATTATGATAATGCAACCTAATTTTAATTTTTTATTTCATTTTTAAAAATTAATTAAAACTAAGTAGGTGATATAATTAATAAAATATAACTGTAATACAAATAAATTATGCTTACTTAAAAAATTAAACTATTTATTTTAAAAAAATCGTTTCTTGAACTCCTTAGTAGTACTAGCTATCGTGTATATATTTGTATTAATATTGAATAATTACGATTAAATTAAATATAAAGTATTTTTTAAAATATTAATAAAGGTATGTTTTTGTGCCAAGAAGAGTTTTTTAACGATGCAATAAAGAACGCATTGAGAAAATAAATGTGAAACGGTCTTTACGGAGTTTTTGAGATGCATGCATTTTTTTATGAGGGGTGGTGGCTAGCGAGTAGATGGTTTAGGTGGCATAGATTATTAATATCACTCGTGGACATTCACCATACTTTGGGGGAAAGCAACTGAAACTGTATGCCTTTTAGGGTATGCATAAATATTTCTCCTTAGCGTCTTCTGTGAGGACGGTATCCCTACCACAGAAAAATAGGAACAACAACTATTTTCTTTAATAGAAAGTAATTTAAATTTTTATCATGACTTTATTTGTCGTAGTCATGCAATGTATTCACATAAATACATATTTCTACGTGTTTAAATACATACTATGAGATCTTACATACATATAAAAGTGATGGCATTCAGATCTCTTATACTCACCGCAGCTGATTGAAGAAAATAAGGAAAATACCTCTAATGTGATTACGATATCTGTCGTTTATACGCAATCTTGCTTTTATGTGCGTAAGAACCGTTAGTTTCTATAATTTGTAGCCAGTTTATTAATCACTTAATAGTGACTGCATAATATATTTATTATACACTTCTTAAAGTAAAAAACATGTTGAACCTCACCACGACATTAACTATAAACCCATTATGATAGAGGTAAAGGAACTAACAATAAGAAATATTTATAGCCATTTTCTAGCATCACATGACAGGCGACATTCGCTTGAGTTAAGGATGGTAAATTCATTTAATGAATTTGGAAAACATATTTCATTTTTGACGAAAGTCATCCAACAAATGTATTCTTTGTCGCCTTTTAATCAAATTAGACGTTCACGCTGCAAAAATTCCTAACGCCTCCTAACTCCAAGCACGTTGAACAAAAATGTGAACAATGTAACACTCATGTTTACTTATAAACTAGCGACCCACCCCGGCTTCGCACGGGTGCAATGTATTATACATATAAACCTTCCTCTCAAATCACTCTATTTATTAAAAACCGCATCAAGATCCGTTGCGTAGTTTTAAAGATCTACGCATACATAGGGACAGACAGACAGCGGGACGACTTTGTTTTATACTATGTAGTGATATAGAATATCAACTGCACAGCTCAATTGTATCTACAGAATATTAACTCTTTAGTTCCCATCGGCACCGCCGCCACCGTAAGATATAATGTTATGAGTGGCAAAAATGAATTGCCTGCAACTTTGCCGATTACAAATGATGTACGGCGTTGTAACGCCGCCTAACTATGCTCATTCGATATGCCCCGTTTGATTTTAATGGTTAATTTTATTACAAAGTGTCCGCCGATGCGCGACCGACCCTGAAATTTATTTGTTTCCCCTTATGGAGATTTGTTGCAGTTGTCCCTGCGGTCGTATGATACAATACGTCATTGGATCAGTTCACATGTGACAAGTACAAATCCTAAGATGTGTACAACAGATTGTAATTAAATTCTTATTGAAGGTTTCCTTGTTACTTTAAAAGAAACATTATTACACAACACAAATATGTGTGCTTTAAACTTAGTTTATATAATTTGTTCCTAGATAGGATATGCTTGGATTTTTGAGGTGAATTAAGTTTAATGTTACAATTTTTAAACCACCAATTGTTTGTTTCAAACAATTGTTTTTTTTAAATGATTATTTTTCAATAGCTGTTTCGTTTTGTATAAAGAAAAATAATAATTATTAATACATCATTAAATATTCGTTTCAGAGCAATTTTGATCGTTTCTATTCTATTTGAAATTCCACGAGTGTTCCACAACGGCAGACGGCACTAGGAAAAACAACAGCGAATAATAAACAAATGAAAAGAGATAAAAATAAATGGCGGCGCTAAGCGATACACGTCACACGTTCAAATCATCCTATCACATAAGGTCGTGACGGACATGCGTCCCTCGGAACGTGACCAGAGAACCGAACCTAACGCAAACTATAAATCGCCAAGCATCGCCCCTGGAAACCAGCGCCGTAGACCCCTCGCCAGCCGCGCCACACTCCCGATTCCCTGCTTAATCGTAGAGCGGAAGCGGGGAAGGGGCAGATCAATCTGTGGCGGCGAAAAAATTCGACTACGTCATTATTGAAGAGTGTTATTGGTGTTATAAATAAGGATCTCGTGTTATTGAGCGGATATTAAAATGATTTTTTCTCTGTTTTGTGTTTGTCTTCGGCCGAAATTGGATTGTGATGTAACGGGTCTACGAGCACCTACGATGCTACGTTTTATAATAATTTCGTGAGTACTGATAACAATACTACAGATTTTCATTATGTTGACATAGTTCTTATATATAAATGATAGTTTTTTTATGAGTTTTTCTTATTTTACATAATCACAAACTGAAACATTTCCTTTATTTTTACTTTTATACCTTAAGAAACATACGAGATCAACACCATAGTTTGATATGAAATTAAGAAAGAGGTAAAACTATTGCCCAATTTGTTAAATTACACTTACATTGTGTTTCATAGATTGTTATTGACGTTTAACTCTCAATCCTGCAAAAGTAATGAATGAATGAATATTCTTTATTGCACACACCATGGTAAAAAGAATACATTAAAAATAATAATTATGTAAGGGTTGTACAATGGGCGGCCTTATTACTTAAAGCAATTTCTTCCAGGCAACCTTTGGATGGACATAATATGAAAAGAATATTTTACGGGTGTGGGTAAAATTCTGTGGTAAATAGTGCCACAATGGTGTCACAATTATTGAACTTGTATTGTTATTTTTACTGTAAGTTATTTTTCTTTATTGTGACACTGTTTATTTATCCCACATAAAAAAAAAAGAAACGCCGGTAAAGACATTTTTAAATCTTTAGAAAAAAAAATCTTCAAGGAAGAATTTTTAATTCATTTTGATTTATTCCAGGCTTAAGAATCTCTTCGTCTTATTCCAAAATAGTACACCGTTGCATAAGCAAAACGCAAACTCCGGGTCGATGCTTTATCAACGAAATCCACCACGGCCGGGTACAAATTGCGGGGCGTCCGTAAGGACTTAATTCACTCCTACATTTTTCACAACCTGCTCACGCTACCCACGGGCGCCTGATAAACCGTCGCTAATTAAAGTCAAAGCCTTGAGAGGTCTCCGGGATTTGCATGCCTCTAAATCCGGCCGCTAGACGTTATCCCGACGTATGAGCGTATTTCTTCACGGGAGAACCTTCTTTATGCTCCCATTCTGTCCCGTTTCCGCCCGATGAGGCGAGGGCTGTTGTGTTTATTACCATAATGCCGTTTCCAGGTCAACGCTTTGACGGTTTTATCGGGATGATTATAGAAGATAGTAGGCGGAGGTAACTGCGGCACGCGGAGGTAACTCATGGTGTTCGTTTAATACACAATCGATTAATAATCATAAAGAATACAGATATTAAATATTAAAAAAAAATAGAAACCATAGTCGTTAATGGTTATTTTTATTGAGTTGTTGTAGAATTTGAATTTATATTTCTATAATTATTACATATTTCTCCAAACATTGATATTACAGTTAAACAAATTCATACATTTACAACAACGATTATACATATACATGGAAATATGTTCACTTTCATGTAGAATTTATTTATTTATTTAAAGGACACCAGCAGTACATGCATTTCACGTTTAAACAATAAGATTACAAAAAAAAAAAATTGATGTATGTACCTTATAAGGCACAGCATTGTTTCAGCTAAATACAAGAATAATCGAGACAATTAATGCAAAAATATTTAACAGCAAATAATTTCAGTAAAGTTAAGAAAAAAAAATTAAAGAATGACAAGCAAAAATACAAATAAAAAAATAAATTTTTAGGTGACACAGAATTGTTTCAGCTAAATATAAGAATGATCGAGAACGATACATGCCAAAAATATTTAACAGCAAATAATTTCAGTAAAATTAATAAAAAAAATAAATAAATTAAAGATTAATTAGATTTGCAACAAAAGCTTTTTAAATAACTTATATAAAATGTAAAGTCTGGTGGCTTTAACTAACTATCTGTAGCTAGTGCGAAAAGCTGAGAGAGCGGTCAAATATTTTTAGTTTCATATTAAAATCGTAATAAAATAGCATCGGCAGAATAAAAAGCAAACATCGTATTTGTTGATTTTTCTTGTGTAGACTGGGAATTGTTGAAATTATCTATTGGTGAGTTTCATTAAATTCGTATAGAATCAGAATTTTTTAAGGGCAGCTAAGTAATTAAAAGCTAATTGTCAAAAAAAAAAACCCTAAAAACAGAGCTAGACGCAACGAGTGCGGATAGCGACAGAAATTCAAACGCAGCATGAGCCACGGACGGAAACACTAAAGAAAAACTAAACAAAAACCAACAGAGCTTCGACATCCGTCGCAAGGAGGGAGGGCGGGCGGCCTCCGTTGCGACGGGGGAAGCGGGCGAAACTATAAATTGTCCTTTAATTACCCCCGGGCAGCGTCACATCATGGATCCGGACAGTTTTATGACGATTTACGGCACATTTCGACGCGGGGACCGGCCCGCTTTGGGATTCCGGGCGCCCGGCTCGCCGAGACCTCCCGCCCCCCCTTCCTTATTCTCGACGCGCGGGGCCGCGGGGCGGGGGCGGCGCCGGCGGCGGCTCACCGCTGGCCGGTCGGCGTACGTCACCTTTTACACTGCCGGGGGGTTTTAAGGCTTCCAGTTCTTTATGGTAATGAAATCTGAGCGGGGTGACGTGCCGAGGTGATGCCTCTGAGAGTTTTTGTTGCGCCTCCCTTATTTATCGCACGTTCGAGGCCGGGGTGGTGTCTCGGTGTGCCGAGTTTGACGCTCGCCGTGCACGTGATGACGGCACGCGGCGAACTACATCGCGGCGTTGCAATCGCTTTATTTAATTTATAATTATACGCGCGCAGAGGCGAAGAACTACTCATTTTTGATTAACATTCTAGCAGATTGATTACGACCTAAGGGGTTAAATTGGTAGCGCAAGTTTGCAACTATTAGATCGAGAAACAATATGGGTATATATATATATAAAGCAGGAAATATATTGCGTACGTCAGTAATTTATAATTATTTTATGTGTTTAGAAATGTGGAATAACGCAGAACTTAATACTAACTGATTACATCGAAAAATTTTTCAAAAATTTCATTTCAAGTCACTTGGTGTTCAGATTAAAAATATAAAATGTATGTTACATTCAAATGAAGAAAAAATTAATTCGAATGAGTGAATGAACGATCCGATGAATTACTGCATTCAAATAATTAAATAAGTACAAAGCAGAAGAACAAAATAGAATTAGAAACAACCAGACAGAACTATTATAAAAGTCTAGTAATGAAAACAACGTAATTTTCCTATAATAAACAGAATTATAATCTATGGCATTAAAGGCAAAACGTTGCAATCCTATCATTAATGGCGCGAACAGTGTAAAATCGGAAATAACTCAGAACCGAAGCCCAAATATCCGTTCGCAATCATAATCGTTTAACAGCCAATTTTATACGTCGATACTGTTCGATTCAAACGAGAGTTTATAAGCTATAAACGCGCAAACAGACGTTTCGGCGTAGCATAAAATCAAATCAACAGTTATCCCGTGAGCCTACATCACAATCAGGTTTAATCGCGTATGTGACAAGTTGGCTCGTTCAATTCACCGTCCACGGGCGTGTGAGCTACAGAGCTGGGGCACTACGCCCCTACGTACTCGTAGCCGACGCGTAGAGTGGGCGTAGGGGTAGGTCAGCGTAAGCTGGAGGGTCCGTAACACGCGCTACGCTCTCTCTCCCGATACCGCTTTGACTGACGGACAAGTATGCATTCAAATGGGTTACTTTGCTCACTTTCACTCCCCCCGTAGAATAAACATCGGGCCCGCCCGAATTCTGGATCCGCCGCCAATTTGGTACAGAATTTGTTGTGGAATGCCGAAATGCTTTTTGAGGGTTAAATTGCATTTAATTTGCACTAAACAACGCTCGGTTTTGATGGAATTGGCTCCGTAGCAGAACGGCGCGTTTGTCGAAATGAAATTTCTTCGAGTCGAAATTTATGGGCATTTCGTTCGGATCGGTTGAACGTTTTCTGTTTGTCTTTCAAGTTGCGTTACGATTAGGTAACAATCTAATTTAAACATTGTTGACTTTACTTCGTACAACATGTATGTACCTATTATAGCGGCTTTAATCTTTTAGGAGGGTGAGCAAAATTTGTGAATTAAACTTAAAAAAAAACTTCTGAAAAAAACTACCATCTGAAGGTGATAATAGCATGTTACACTGAAGTCAGATACAACTTTCTTGAATTCAATAATACACACAAGCGAAGACAAAGTCGTGACATAGATTTACATACTACTGTCTAACAAACGGGCGCGTAAATGCAAAGAATTTCAAACGATGAATAGTATATATACAGAAATAAATTCAAAGACGGGGCCGTTGGTCCGGTATTTTTCTTCGTTGCCGTTACTGCAACCCGGCGTGGTATTATCCGGGGTAGTATTAGCCCCCGTGCATAGAACAAATAAACAGCAATATCGGACTGATAGATGGCTGGCCCCATTCGCAGTAATGACTAGGCGGGGGCAATAAAAACTGTAACTCGTCAGCCCCGCTGCGGCATTGGGAACGGGATTTATGTGGCCTTACCTACAGCCGGTCGCTGTCTTCGCAATTCTCCGGGCTCTCATGCTAACGGCGACACTATTTTTGACGGTTCATGTGACTGTTCTTAAACTGCCTGACGTTTCGAATACTTCACTGACACAAATAGACTCCTGAATATATACTGGATAGTAAAAATATTAAATGCATAATAATTTCTTGTATTTACGCGATTACACATTATAAATGAAACTAATTTTACGGATTTATCGCGTTTATTTTTAATTTTAGACGACGTTTCGAACCCTTTACAGCGTTCATAGTCACGGGACAGACTGTCCCGTGACCATGAACGCTGAACTAAAATTATTAATACTGCTGAACTAAAAATATTAAACGCTTCAAATTTCATACAATTTTTATCATCCGTAATAAAAGTTTTTTTTTAACAAAAAAGAACCAACTTCAAATAGAATGATGTACGTAACTGTTACAACGTTACATGCTAAACAATGCATATTTATGCGAAAGCAGCAATCGCGGTTGATTTCCTATCATATTTCGAAGAGTTTCGTTGCTATCTCCGAAAATCATCATGAGATCTATATGAAATTTATATGGGACCATTTCGGAACGAAACCCTTCCGAGCAAAAAAGAATTTTGTAATTCTTTATATGACGAAGTTATGCCCGAACATACATAAAAAAATATAAACATTCGAATTGATAACCTCCTTTTTTTGAAGACGGTTAAAATAGCTGTATTCAATAACATAACTTTGACAACCCTACATTATCACGCCACACTTCTAATGTTTTTAATGCACATTACGCGGTGGTTTACGATGCATTCGATGGGGCTAATGGCGTCTCGCTTCTGTGAAACTCGGTCTCATCGCTGCAGGGTAGGGGATGAGGCGTAATTAGTTTTTAAGAAACGTCTGCACAATGTGCGATTTGGGCGCGCCGCGCCGTTTCGCATAGTTGTTGACGTTCTTTTGCTGTAGGTAATATGTTTGTGACATTTTATGAAATAAATACAAATAGTTAGAGAGCATTAAATGTCTCAAACACTCGAGTATCATTGGGATAAATACAACATTATTCATGTTTATATTGTATTTACAAGTTATCGTTATCCTTATTATGCATTCCATAAATTTGTTAATCTATTGTTACTTTTGTCTATTCTTTTATTTGTGGTTGACAATAAAAGTAAATTGATTCATTCGTTCATTCAAATATAAAATAATACCAGGCGGCTCTATATCTAAATGGATGAAGTTTCTTTTCTAGGAATTCCATTATCATACTCTGTAAAGCATTGTCGTGTATTGTATCTATGTTAGTTATATTATACACCGCAGTTTTTAAATGTACAACTTTTGCATTGCGTTCGGTCTGAGGTAACTGTAGGCTCATTATTTAAAGTTGTTCAAGTCCTGTGGGCGAACAAATTTTTTTTGTATCTCTGGTTTTTTAAAGTTAGAGGTAAAGATCACCTTTTTAACCACGATTTAATTACAACACAAACATACCGAGTTCCACCTTCGTAACACACGATCCTAAGAGTACCTCTTTGACAGTTGGATGTGACGTCACAATAGTCAACAGTGGCGCTAGCTTAACGTTTCCGGGACTTTACTGTAATGGCGTCGCATCGCTTGGCAATTGGCATAGCATGGCCTGGCTTGGCTTGGCTTGGTTTGGCTTGGCGATGTAAATCTCCGAAATGTGGTTTCGATCTCTCCGTTCATGGCATCGACGATAGAGTGCAGAAGCGATATCAATCTTGACCAACCAAACAAATCGCAAAAATGTAATGTATCGACAGCTATCTGTGAAGCCGTGGTAGTTCCCCAGACGAGCCTGTCCCTTCGTGCAACAGCAAAGTTTTTGTGTGAGAAACAATAATGCAATAATTCTTAAATCGCGCGATTGTATTATTCAAATACAAAAATTTGGTTTTCGTAATTTAACTTTAATGATTTTTTGCCATTGAATGTACAGACAACACATGTAGATGTCGAAAGGAGCTGTTAGATTAAGCAAGTTATGTAACATTATTTGTTCAGCAATTTTGAAACACACAACTCTTAAATATTGCCGCCAGTTAACCATGACATTACAGTACTTGTCACTAAAGTCTTTTTCAATATTTCATGTTAAAAGTATAATAGTAATAAATTAATAACATATATTAGATATATTAACAGGAGATACCGATTTTTTTCCCGGGTGCCATCGAATTCACGACTCGTGGTGCCGAAGTAATAAAAAACTGAGCTATAAGATCCTTCAAGACGTCACTCTGAGATACCAATTTTTAACAGCACAGGAATAACGCACCGAATTAGACAAACGTCGTCGTAACTGTCCCCCACACGCGAAAACGATAAAACCTGACGACATTCGCACAATAATCCCCTTGTTTTAAGCGGAATTGTGCTTTTAGCGTTAATATTAACGGTATTTAAGTGCATACGCGTCGGCCATTGCCGTACGGAGCAATTAGACGTATAAATAAATTTGTTTTACAAGCGACAGATGGCGCGAATGCGGCAACCATCTTTGCGCCATATTCATAGATAGGTGATCTCATTAGGAGCGGAGTGCTAACCGGGTTTATTTCCGCGCAGCGTTAATGCTGTAATTACGAATTTGACAATAAACTAACATTGTATTGTTCAAAAGGAAGTCCGCACTGCGGGCGGGTTAATTCGCTAGCCGTCTTTGTTATTCTCTTTTTAATTTTTTTTCTTTTTGAAAGCTTTCTTAAATTAATATTCAATTATATCCAACCAATAACAGCATTTAGACGTATAAGTTTTTGGACAAAGTGTTTACTTTATTAACATTTCGTAAAATTACAAAAAACGAGGTAATGTAACATGTCTTAAAAAATGATTTGTTGTGTTTATGTGATTATTCCCCATTGAGAAATTGAAAATTTCTACAGGATTTATCGGATTTCATTTTAATTTTATCGAACTTTTACGGAGGCCATGTTCACAGGGTTTAAAATGTATGTAGAAAGTATATAGGTAGGTAAAATAAAAATATATTAAAA